CTCCTAACAGGCCTTGGCTTCTTCATTCTAGCTTGGGTTCATTCCTAAATGCCAGGATAGCAAGTGTCCTTTATTGGTGTCTTTCTAGGAGTGACAATATTTTCAGGTGGCTGTGTCCTGGGCTTCTCCTTGAATTCTACCTAAACAGCAAGGTCTGTTGTTGATTCAAAGTTTTCCGTCCACTGCACTGTGGTCCAAGCCACTGTCCCAGCTCCCGTCCAGGCAGATGCTCTCTCTGTATTTCCCTGACCTAGTTCTTAGCTGGGTTTGTGAAGGTTGAGATATTCTAGCTCCTCCCAGTTCATAGCCATGTTATAAGCTTCTTTATGTCAACTGGAAAACACAGTGCTCCTTCCTAATCTGGAAGTTGTTATCTACCTCTTGGTGAAGGTCCCCAAACTGATAGTAAAAATGTGGAATGAAGAAGGATCCTCAGAGCATTAAGGCATGGGGGGGTGGAGTGGAAAACTGTGTTGTGATTGTGTCAGTGTGGGGCTCTCAGTGTCTGCAGATCCACAGAGAATAAGAGGCAACTTCAGGAGACAGGACCCTGAGGACCCCACCTGGCTCTCCAGGATGCACCCAGCTGGCCCAGGCTCCAGAAGCCAATGGAGAAGCCCAGTCCTGCTTCTCATAAGTATGGGGCCTGTCACCTCCTTGGGACAGAAAGAGATGCGGGTGTGTGTGTGTGTGTGTGTGTGTGTAGATTTAAATGTTAATGAAGGATGACATTTAATCTCCAGGTGGGCTCAGGGATATGGAACTTTGGTTTTGTTTGTAGCTTGGGTGGGTTAGATGTGGGAATCTAAGTGTTTGGCCTGAAAGTTTGTGTGCTGCAAATTCATACATTGAAAGCCAGTCTCCATGGGCTGGGGATAGAGCTCAGTTGGTAGGGTGCTTGCTGGCATGCTCTAAACTCTAGTGCATTCAGTTCTAATGCACTAAGCTCAATCCTCAACACACACACACACACACACACACACACACACAAACAAACACAACCACATACAAAATACATCACTAATAAAATCAGTCTACTACCTGAGCTTTGATTGAAAAAGAAAGAAAGCCAGTCTGAAAGTGACGAATCATTTTGAAGGGACTGTGTTTAGGAACTGTAAAATAAGCCTCAAAATACTTGTTTGCCCCTCTGCCAAGTGAGGACATAGTGGGAAGGTGCCATCTAGAAACCAAAGCAAGACCTCCCCACACAACAAATCGGCTAACATCTTGATTCTTGGCTTGTCACCTCCAACACAGAAGACAACACAACAACACATTTGCATTGTTTATAAGCTACCCAGTTTATTGTGTTTATTTGTTGATATTTTGGTGGTAGCACTGTGATCAAACCCAGGACTTTGTGCATGCTTCTCAAGTACTCTACCACTAGGCTACTCTCCTGGAACTAGTTATTTTATTTTGAGCTCGGGTCTCCCCAAGTGGCCAGCCTGTGCAGAGTATGTAGTTCTTCTCCCTAAGCTTCCTGAGTGGCTTGGATTATGGGCATGTGCCTTCATGCCTCACTACGTTATTATTGTTGCTGTAGTTGCTGTTGCTGTTGTTGTTACAGGAGCCTGATGGAGTGAAACACTGGGGCTTCTGGTGTACAGGTTCTCTACAGAGGTCCCACCAGTATGAGAACATGGGTGCTTGCTGAGAGGTGGGCAAGGGATTTGGAAAAGTACCAGCTCTGCTTCCTGAAACTTCTCGGTCAGCATGGGAGGGTGTGGCAACTGGGAGGAGGGGATAGGAGGGGTTGTAAGGAAGGAGAGGGGAGGAAGGGAGGGAAGGACTCAGGCACAGTGGGGTGAGGAGGAAGGTGGCATGAACTGGCTTACCATCCACAGCCTCCTTGGGAATTATGAGTGTGTCTAACAGGAGAGGATCCATGGTGGAGTGTATAGACAAATAGCTACGTGAATAAGTGGGTGAACCCTGGTTCTTGGGTGGGCACCACAGGAAGACCCCATCACACCTAGCACACCCCTCTCTTCCTGACAAGGAAGCTAGAGCTCTGTGTGCTTGTCCTCAGCCCCCTTTAGCTCCTGGATCTTCTGAGGCAGGGTCTTGGTCCAGAACTGCAGCCTGTGTGCCTTCAGAGCCTGGCCCACAGCAGGCTGGATGTCCAGCTGCAGGTACTGCTGGTCCTGGTCGAACAGTGGCCAGTGGGGTAGGCCCTCTCCGTTGGGGTTCCTGTGCACATGCCCTCCCATCAGGGCAGGGCAAGGGTCAGTCTGAGCTCTGTTGAACTCAGACCTGACCACATACCCCAATTTTGGACAGGATAGGGATCCAGACAGACAGGGTTGTTGAGAATGGGGGGAGGTGTCCTGATGTAGGAAAGCAATGACTTCTCACTTGTGTCATTCCACACAGGGCAGGGAAACCTGGCCTGTGTTGCCCTTCCCTGTGAGAGGCTGGCTCTCATGGTAGCCCACCACTATGGCTTACCCTCTAGACCACTAAGAGAAAAGTCCAATGACCTGCACCCACAAAGCACCCTTTTTTAGTGTGGGTCTTCTGGTTGTGGAGGGGCTAGGATGTGATGAAGGACACACAATAGCTAATGGGGTCACTTCAGACAAGGGGAGCAGTGGAGGACCCGTGCCCCCTGGCAGGTGTCCTCACCCATTTCGAGCAAAGTTGGCCCAGTACTTCATCATTCTTCTGTTCAGCAGCTCCTCCTCCTCAGTGAGCTCAACTGTGGGAGGAGGAAGGCAAGGGTCCGGGTCCTGGCCAACCCCATCCAGCTGTCCACTCCTGTGCCAAGTCACCACCCCAGCCCCAGGCTTGTGTCCCTTTCCTATCACAACAGTCCCAGGGCCAGGTCCTCTGCTTGCCCAACCTGCCTTTATTACTCCCAGCCTTTAACTGAATCAACACTGGGCTCCTCCTTGGCCTAGCAGTTTCCTTCTTTTGGATACCTTGAAGTCATTTAAAAAATGATTAGGCTTTTACCCAGCCCTCTCTTCTCCTATGCAACACACCATTTTTGGGGTGGGAACACATAGAAGGTGCATAGATTAGAGTGGGAAAGGTCTAACCCTGGAATGACCCATTGAGTTGTAAGATGGTAGACACTGGATCCCATGTTCTCTCTAAGCCACAGTTTCTCATTGACAATGAGAGCAATTGCCACCCTGTAGTCATGAGAATGCTCCTGTGGAACAAGGAGTGCTCACTTCTAATGCCATTGAAGTAGGATCCAAACACAAAGATGATTTCATCACCATGGTCAGCCTTCACATGTGGTGGCTTGATATTCTTATAGATGCTGGGCCTATGCTGGAACTCATAGAAGTAGACAGGAGCATGGGAACCTGGAGGGTGGACAGGATGTGTCACTTTTGGTGGCAAGATTGCTAGGTCCAAAGCTGGCTTGAATGTTCACAGTGGCTTGGAAGCCCAGAATGGTACAGAGGCAGTTGGAAGGCTCTTTGTTAAGTCATGTCTTAAAGTTCCTGGCGGTGTGGTCACGGGAAGTCCTTGAGTGCCACTACCTTAGTTTCCTGCTCTGTTAAATGAATGTGAGGTCTATCTTTTACTCTACTCATAAGGATTTACTGAGATAACAGCCTTCAGGTGCCTGGGACCAAGGTCTGGATAAAGACATGCGTCAGGACCTGACATCAGACCTCACTGGGACCCATAGCTCTGAGCGGTCTCCTAGGAAGCCAGGATTCAGGTTCAGATACACTCACTCTGATAATGTGCTACTTGGAGTGCAGGCATCACAAACATGAAGTCTGCCATCATCTCCTGGTACTGGAGTCGGAGGGTGTGGGGGTCCTCGTTGTCTCCCATGTACTCCTCCATCAATAGGTCAGCACATTCAGCAGGCAACTTCATCTAGTCCAGGGGATCAGGGAGAGTCAGGTTAGGCAATCTCTGGGGCAGGGAGGCAGGAGCTAGAGGGTAGGTATTGGGGTTTGTAATGTCAGGGAATAGGGCAATAGTGTCAAGCTGTGCGGTAACCCCACCCACAAATGCACATAGATCAATCTTTGTTCCTGGGGATTACTGAAAAGGAAGAGTGTCTGACTGCACTCTACCTGGTGCAGGACCCCAGAAGTCTTACCATCTGTGTTGACATTTTCCGCAGAACAGCTCGCGTGGACTCTCTATCTAGATCTTTCTGGATTTCAGGGGGGCCCAAGAGCTGTGTGGTGAAGGAATAGTCTAGAATTAGGAGTGGGATGACCAGGATATACGAGGTCTAAAGCTGCTCACACTTGACACTATTGTAGGGGTTTTGAGAGGGGACTCACCATGGGAAGGAGCCAGCCATACTCATCATTGTTGACACCAATGATGCTCGGAACAGGTTGAAAATCAGCAGAGGCCAGAAGCTCCTGAGGGTGCCTGGGTAGGAAGGCCCCATCCACCACAGCAGGAATGACACTGAAAGCCTAAGGGGGCATTCAAGGTACATGATCACAGGAAGGAAAGTTTGTTTTCTAATGACACTGGAGTTACCTCCAACCCATCCTAACTCAACCAATGATGCTCACACCAACATTCAGAGATTCTTACCTGGTTTAAAATATTTTTGTCTCAAATCCCAATCAAGGCTATGAGGATACAAGGAGACCAAGCCTTGGAAATGAGATCTTTGTTCCACAGTGGAAAGCACTTTATTTCCCATATACCATGACCCCTGTCGCCTCACTAACCTCCATTCAGCCTACCTTGGTAACAGCCAGCATTTCCTGTTCACTCTTGCCCCGCAGACAGCTCACCAGGGCCTCTGACTCTACTTGCCCACAGGCAGACAGGTGGGCCACCATCTGTAAAGAAAGGGCGGTATTGCCTATATCTCAGCTTTGTGCGTGTTGCCCTTTATTCTCAAAGTGTACCCTATTATACTGCTGCAGATGTGAAATTCTTCCATCTTCCCTGAAGCTCAGGTATCATCCAGAGGAGACATCACATCTGCTTCCATGTGTCTTCTGAGGATGAGGACCCCTGGATGCAGCTTTGCACACCATAGAGCAAAATCAACCACTTGAGGCAGGGGTGTGTGGATTCTGACCTTTGAGCTCCTCAAAACACCCAGGGGTGGTGGGCAGTTTGGGCAGTTCCAGAGAACACCTGCATAGTCTTTGTTCCCATGGAACAGACAGAGTGGCAAAGGCTCTGAAGTTGAAGGGTGAGGCACCAGATTTGGCCTTGGGCAGTAAAGGATACTCACTGTGGAGACATCTTTAAATGAGCTGGTGATGAGATCAGGCAGCAGAGCCACCCCACTCTCCATGATGGCACCATGGAAGAGTCCTTGGGACATTGGAGACACCACATGTGAGGACACACTAGTGCCACCTGCAGACTCGCCAAAAATGGTGACCTGATCAGGGTTGCCTCCAAAGTGTGCGATATTCTGCTGGACCCAGCGTAGGGCGGCCACTTGGTCCAGGAAGCCCCAGTTGCCAGTGGCATGCTGGTCTCCAGTGCTGAGAAATGCAAGGATGATGATCATGGATGGTCCTCTGTCTACTCAGTGCCCATTGACCATCCCTGTCCCAGGCTCACCTGAAGAAGCCCAGAACTCCCAGGCGGTACTGGATAGTGACCACCAGGACATTTTCAATGGCTGTCAGAATAGAACCATCATACATGGAAGCTGAGCCCATCACCAAGGCACCACCATGGATCCAGACCATCACCTGGGAAATCAGGAGATATACCGTGTGGTGGCCACCCTGCCCAACTGCATCCTGGCTGAAACCCTAATTTGAACACCACTTTGGCTTGTGTAGCTACCCACACAGAACACTAATAGGACCTCATGACCTAGGGCACTGGTGACAGAGTAAGTTCAATTTGGAAGAACAGGCCTCCCATACTTTGGAGTCTAACCAGGAAGCAGAATGTGGATCTATTCCTCTCAGAACTACTCTGAAAGGAAAAGAAAATTGATGTTTCTATGATTACCCCACTTGAACATTAATTTAAAGTGTCATCTAATCTCTGGCCCAAAAAAATAAACCATGGTCATGGAATTTAGTGATCTCAAGGTGCACCTTTGGGCACCTGCATGGATCTCCTGGGTACAAGCTGGTGAGTTGGTTGGTGGGTTAGAACATTTGGCCTCTGAGAGCATCCAGGGCTCTTTGACTCCATGCCTAGGTCAGCTTTCTTCCTGCATAAGAGGCCTTCTTGGAGCTGATAGTGAGAAACTTTTCATGGTAGTTCACACCACAGTGATGGCCAGCTGAACCTGTGTCTTCCAGTGTCATTGGTATTGTTATGTAGTACTTGGTGTCAGTCCAGGCCTTCACAACATTGTGCTAGCTCTCTACCTTGAACCATGTCCCAAGCCCACTTCTAATGTTCTCCCAAAAATGTTCTCCCACCCTTCAACTGACCATGACTTAACACTCACAGGCAGGTTAGAGCCCTCACGGGCATGTGCAGGCGCGTAGATGCTGAGGTACAGGCAGTCCTCTGACATGGGGATGGGAGGCAAGTTTGTACTCCCTAGGTCCAGAGCCTCTATATTCAATGCATCTGCATTTTGCAGACACCTGGTGACAATGGAATACAGTTACTCCAGGAGCTGAGCAGTGGTCAATCCAGACCTCAGGTCCTGACTCGATCCCAGACAACCTCACTCCCTGACTTAACTGATGCCTTGCCTCACATGATCCTTCTTTCAAGTCATTTCCTACTGGTTTCCAGGCCACAGGCTCGGGGAAGCAGGGATGGATTCCCGACCCCCAGGGAGGCCTCAAGATTGTTGAGCACTTGATTCCAACTCCTTCTGAGGCTGGGCAATCCTGATTCTAGGGCCCTGTCTGGGAAACCCTGGCGCCCCTGTTGACAGTCACTATGTATTACTATCCCCACTCAGGCCTGGAACAGCATAGGTGTCCCCACACAGGTGGTGCCTGAGTGGATGGAGGTTAGTTCTCACAGAAGGGTAATGGGGCATCCCACAGCCCAATTTGAGACTCTCAGAAAACCTCACCCCTCCACTGACTCTCGAGCTGTAAGCACATGCCCCTTTCCCTTGGCCCTGTGGATGGGGTCCCCAAGGAGCCACCACTGTTGCCTTCATCAGGGATCTGCAGCATCGACTGCTGGAGTCAAGGTCTTTTATAGGTTCAGAGAGCCACGCCGACCCTCTCCCAGAATCATCTCCCCTGGTGGGAGAGAACCCCTGAAATAAGCTAAATCCAGGGACATTATTTTCTGCTCTGTGTTCAGCACCTGGAGCTAATGCCTTTTGGGTTCCACACTCTGAGGCAGGGGCCTGGCAAAGTTACTTCTGCATTGGAAGAATGAGTGTGGGAATTACCCCAATGTAGAGGGATACGTTTTTGTATATTTGTTCATTTCGTACCTGGGTTTCAAAGATGGTGCATTAGTTTGCAAAAAACACATTAGCACTGACCTACAGCCCCAGGCCTTGCAGTATAGTGTAGATGAAGGAGCCACTGCAGCCTGGCCCAGGGCTCGGATTACCCACCCTCACCCCATTCCTGAGGTTTCCCAGACCCCAGGAGAACTTACATGGCCGGGTGGGAGGTCCCATCCCTCACACCACTCCAAGCTTCAGGGGGTTCAGGGGCTGCAAAGCGCAGTGGTCCTACAGGTGGCTTGGCAAAGGGAATTCCCAGGAAGGTGTGGACCCCCGCATCGGTGCCCTTCACATGGACGAGGCTGCCCCGCACCTGCCCGGTGTGGGTGGTACGGATGGGGCTGACTGAGTCCTGGCCTGTGGGCAGAGAGATGCACTTCAGGCTCAGGTCTGCCCACTCAGCTGCTGACCTACAGCACTGGGCTTGGTTGGCCCTCCTCAGCTCAGCCTTGTGGAGGGAGCCTGATCTGTCAACATTCGCTTCAGAATCTTTCTGCCCATCCCTAGTCCCTATCCCCACTACCACTATCACTCGACCAGCTCACAGCCTATCCCTCCAGGCTCACCAAACCCCTGTGCCTTGCCACCATCCTTCAGCCCTAGCAACTGCTAGCAGAATGTCTTTTGGGCTGATGGGGCAAGAGTGTCCACTGCACTAACTGTGTCAGGTCATGTCATGCACTAGGAGGACTGTGGGAATGGAACTAAAGTTTCCAATCCTCAAGGGTCTCATGCTAGAGGAGACAAGAAATGACATAAAGAAGCATCATTCATGTAAGGAAAAACAGACGTATGGAAACATGGACCAATGGGAGCTATGAGTTCAGACCATACAAATTTTGTCCTGCCTGGGGGAGATCAAGGCAAGGAGCCATTGAAAAGTCAAGCTAGATATATCTGGCTTGTCCAAGTCATGATATTTGGTAAAGGTTGATGTTGGGCATGCTGGGTTTAAATCTTCTCTCTATCCAAGAATGGCCTGATCTTGGGTGCTGTGCAGCTCTCTGGCTGTCCCAGTCCTCTCTGTGCTTCAGGGTGTAGGAAGTTGGCATTCAGGTCCACAGTTCTCCTGCTATTGTTGTCATCTCCACAGCTCCCACATTACTGGAGCCTTCCCTCCCCTAGGCTCAAGATTTCACTCCAGAATGTGGTAGATCTGAGCTGATTTCCATAAGAAAAAGTTAAAAACTCCAAACCTCCTCCTCTCTCCCACCAGATCCCCTAGGATCTGCATGTTTGATGCTCCCTGGTACAGGACAGGCCAGGGCAGCAGCCACTCACAGGAACAGAGAAGGAAATTGGGCAGCATCCCTCCAAGTCCAAAGACACTCCTGTCCCTACCAACATGCTGTCTCCACACAATGCCTTGCCAGAGGGATCTTGGTCCATGTAACTCTTTGTGGTGACTGGCCACTAATGCCTGATATTTGTAATTACAAAGGGCAAAGCCTGCTAATTAATCCTGATGACATAATGTCGCTGCTTCCTTGAGAAGAAGCCCTGCATGAATCTCATCCATGTATGTATGTAGGGGTGTGAAGTTTCCTTGTGTCCTGATGAGGAAATGGTCACACCAGAAAAGATGTGTTTGTGACAATTCAGGTGAGAGACAAAGATGAGTAGTGCGTAACACCTGGACCCTATTTAAGACCTAGATGGGCCTGTGGAGGAGCCAGGACTTGGTGGGTAGAAGACTGTAGGACACAAATCTATACCCTCTCAGGACTCAGGTGTTTTTTTTTTGTATGTGAGTTCAAGAAAAAGATTGTTGAAAATAGAATATTTCAGGGGAGGGGCTGGGGTTGTGGCTCAGAGGTAGAGTGCTCGCCTGACATGCCTGAGGCAATGGGTTCTATCCTCAGAACAACATAAATATAAAATAAAGACATTGTGTATGCTTATAACTAAAAAAATAAATATTAAAAAATACAATCTTTCAGTGAAGCTAGAAAAATCTTTCTGCTGAAAAAATTCTGGTTCTCTCAGCCCCAGGTAAGAGAGGAAGCCTATCAGTGGTGATCCAAAGGGGACAAGGGACCATGGATTCCTCTGTGCAGATTAGACTGGGAAAGTTGGGACTATGTACAACATCCACAATAAGAGCCTTTTGCGTGGGAGGGATCAGGGCTGCTGACACTCCCTGGGCATGGTACTCTCTTACCAGCACCTTCTGATAAGGGCCTAGAGACTTCTAGAAGGTACAGGGCACTTCGCCTTTGTTCCAGAACACAATCCAAGGCATGCCAGCTTGGGTTTGCCAGTGAAGGGAAC